TCTCGTATATATGCACATGCAAAACTAACTAATAAAACTATATCTATTGGCGCCAAAAAGTCTTAGTCTCAGACCCCGCACGCGGTCCACCTGCGCGCCAAGGCAACAAAACAACAATGAGCTTATTAACTATATTATAGTCACATCGATTGCAAATCCTACTTTCACACTTGATTAGGTTCAGAATTTGAATCTCGCATGTCACTGGCCATTTGTAAATTTTAAAGTATGTCAAACCGGTTTGGGAAATAAACACAACCTCATTCCCAGGCTCTTTCCTCTAAGCCTCTGGGAACGAGGTTGAAATAAACATTACTGTAAGCTAATCATAGCTATAATTAGCTTACAGTAATGTTTCAGTAATGTTTATTTCCCAAACCGGTTTGACATATTTTTACAAATTATGGCCAATCACATGCAAGATTCAAATTCTGAACCTAATCAAGTGTAGACGTGGGATTTGCAATCGATGTGACCAGAGGCTTTTGCCTTGCAAAGAACCTCTGGAACAGGGTAGCATGCACATAGTTATTGTTTGAAATTCGCATCCTCAAACATCCATGATACAATATTGATTGATTGTTAAATTCGTAAAAAAAATATAGAAAAGTAGAAATATATACAAACCAACGAGAAATTCCAAGCAATCTTGCTCTTCAACAACTTTGGCTAAAAAAGTACAAATAAATTTAAGGTGAGAAACTGAAGAAAGTGATCCACAAAGAGACATCTAAATTGTGAAGACCATAAATATTTGAAAAAGACCAAGAAGATCCTCAACTTCCATCCAGTAATTTGAGTTTTCTGGGATGCGCAGGATATATAATTATTCTTTTCTCTAATACAAATTCCAATTTTATACTCCAATATCAAATACCTACATAGTGATTTATAGGATACTTCAGGCTTTTTCCCCTCCTTATGTGCTTCCTTTGCCAGATATTCAACAAAAAGCTCCTATGTAATATATAATACACACATCAATATCTTGACAGTTGTCAATGTGAGTTAACAACTTAACCTCATATTATACCTCAAATTCAAATTGTCCAATAAATACACGGCATTTGTACCATGTGACTTTTTACAGTATTTCACTCAAATTCATGATTTTGCAATGTGGCGTGAGATATAATTGGAATTAACTGGCAGGGTAGTAGAGGTAGAACCCTCCTGTGCAGTTATGAGATAGAAAAAATATGGCGTTTGAGCTGTTTCAAATTTCGGAATAAAAGATTTATTGATTTGGCTTGATTTTAAAGAGTGTTACCTTGATCCAAAGGAATACAGGCTTAAATATTTTAAAGGGAAAATGTCAAAAACCCGGGTACACATGTAAAAACGCACTTCCAACAACTTGTCAACAAGTTGTGAGATTTTTATGTGTGTATAAATAAGATACTAACCCATAGAGTGGCAACACTCTCCACTTGGGAAGTAAAATCGTCTGGCGTTAGATAGAGTAAAATACTAAAGTAACGCGCAACAGGGTGCATTGCCACTTAAAGGGTTAAGAGATGCATGGGCAGTTTGTTTGGTTAGTTACCCATTGAGTGGCAACACTCTCCACTTGGGAAGTAAAATCGTCTGGCGTTAGATAGAGTAAAATACTAAAGTAACGCGCAACAGGGTGCATTGCCACTTAAAGGGTTAAGAGATGCATGGGCAGTTTGTTTGGTTAGTTACCCATTGAGTGGCAGCTAGGGCACTTAAAGGGTTAAGAGGATGCATGGGCAGTTTTGTTTGGTTTACCCATTGAGTGGCAGCACTCTCCACTTGACGAGTAAAATCGTCTAGCATTAGCTTATACAGTATGTAACTTATACCTGGCTGGTAAGGACTAAGTGAAGGCATGCTGCATATTTTACTTGAAATAAGCTGATAGTCTGATACCACTGAATCAGATATGCCACTCTGCCTGGCATATAGCTGCAAAATTACTATTATACTACACTTACATAGTCAATAGAATCACATCAAACCTTTATGCTTCATTGTGCACCAATGACCAATGTGCTCTACTTTATAATGTTACTCTATGCCTAACCATCTGTGTTCATACTCACAGATTGTCACCATCTGACTGCAGATGGTACACATTGTGACATGTTATATACTTAAGTGCCTAAACATCTGTATTCATATTCACAGATTGTCACCATCTGACTGCAGACGGCACAGTCTGTATGATCTGTACCATCCTAACCATCTGTAGCGTCCAACGAGAGAAGTATCATTCAGCATTATACTCTAAATATCTAACTATCTGTGTTCATAAGGCGGTTTTCCAGTCCTTGCACGAAGCTCCTCGCAGCTCACTGCGAGTGGTTGCATATAATAAAAATAGGTACGCACTGCGTACATGTGGCTAGCCTATTCAGCCTGGTCGAATACAGCCGGAGTTCACATTGTCATGAACATTCATCACAAACATTTATTTTGATACAAAATTAATAATTACAATAGAAGAATGGTCAAAATAAAACAGATGCAGTATCTTTCTTACAATGCCAACAAATGGCTACAATCACTTGATTTAAAAGCAACATTCGGTTTTGCTTCAATAATAAGTATATACATGCAGCAACTAATGATTTCTAAACATTTTTATTTATTGTAAGATCTAACAGCATCGGAATTTATAATGAACTCATCAAATCAATTATGTCATCACCACTAACTTGTATTGCCCTGACACTTGTGCAAATATTCTGATCTTCCTATATTATCCAATATTATCACCAGTCACCATATTATCAGCAAATTGATCAGAATATGTGTTCACTTAGTTGTTTGAAGTACTGTAGATGCCATGCATCACTATGATTTTGAATTGTGCTTTTATCTGCAAATTGTTTAAAATTAAGAACCAAATATTTACTGGCAGCTCGCAAGACTGACACATTATAAATGATGCAGGTATAAATTTAACCCATTAAGCGGCAGAGCTTCCCCATTGACGGGTAAAATCGTCTGGCGTTAGACAAGTAAAAGAAATAAGTAGGGTGCATTGGGGGCCTGGGGCACATTGCAGCTCATTAGGTTAAACAACACATTTAACTGTGGCAATAAAAGTATGAACATGCTACTCAATTGACACTGCTGTTATTAAGTGCTGAAAAGAAATGTTGAAACTTGTCGATATGACCTCATCACATTATGACTGTGAGTTTTCTTCATATATACTCTCGCAACTGCAACGGTCAGTGTTTTATTGTGATTGCACTAATTTTCAGGGACGTAGCAAAGCATCTGAAGTTTGGGGGGGTGTCGGATGTCAAATGGTCATCATTTTACAAAAATAACGACTTTTACACAAAGTTTACCTGAGAATGTAAAAATTTACAAGTATTTGAGCTTTACCTGAGTTTCACAGTTGTGGAGTTTGCCCCCCTCCCCCCCACACACACACACACTCCCCTGTCTCTACGCCCCTGCTGATCTTAGATCAGATATAATAATACATATTATTTACATCTGGACTAGATATCCAAAAATAAACTGCACCTACAGTTGCATCTCCTGGTTTAATAGATCTAATAAATGTAAAATAATACATTTTCACTCAATTACTTCCATCTAGCTAGAAGATCCTTCAACTGTATGTAAACAGACTGAGTGAGCTTCCACGCTAGTAACTACTAGACTATATTAATATAAAATAGTCCAGCCTGTTTTCTGTGTTAAGTGTAGTTAAAGTTTTATACCTGCAAGTGGACAGGGCAGTTGTAGTATTGTTGTAAAATATGCCAACAATGGGCTATGCCAACTGTTACCCACATAACGGTATATTAAAATTCAAGATCTGTGCAAGAACGTTTGATTATTAACAGGATTATATAAACTCACTATATAAAGCTTTATATGAAGCGTGATCTAAATCTCCTTGACCAGAAGCAGAGTCCAGAGCAGACATGAATAGCAACACGATAGCAATGACAAAGTTTTAATAATATAATATGAAATGACAGATTCACAAATTGTAAACATAAATATCGACTGAAATAACAAAAATTAACTTACCGTTTGCTGTGAAAAATTCATTCGAGTATTTCTACCAGCGTTGCCAACTGTAATTTTGCTGAGTGATGCATCTTGCAGTATTAAAGTCGTTTAATAGTTGTAAGATACCTTTTCTGTGACAACTGGCATTTTAATATCATTGCCATTTGCCTCATGCCATCAACGACAGTTTCCGAAGGCAGTCGACAAGTTCCGTCACAACTTCACAACTCTTAGAGTTTTAGCGTTACATTGTGGCTAGCCCGCGAACGGGCTAGCCACAAAAATTGACTGTTTAGCATTGTGATTGGATGAAAGTGCTCATGCATGCACTCGCAGCGAGGAGCTAATTCGTGCGAGGACTGGAAATCCGCCTATACTCGCGGATTGTCACCATCCATTCTCTGATGGCTATACTGGACATACCTCACAATTTCCAAACTTTCCAGTCTGGAAATATTGGGCACAGAATAGAGACCTTACAGAAGATGTAACCGCTGACACGTCACGATTTGTCATCAAAATGGCAAAGCACTCATCATGTTCCTAACCAGTGTGCTTACAATAGACATTCCCCCCAAAACATCTGCCATTTTGAATATTTTCAGGAGGGTGAATGCAGGGGTTTCAGAATAAGCCGGCGGCCGGCGGAGTTCCGCCGGCTACTTGAACTTTTACCGCCGCCTACTTTTCGTCAGGTCACAGGAAAAATTTTATATACAAAAGTACAAGCGAACCAACACAATGTTTGTTATGTTCCAATTGGAATTCAAGTTGGCCTCGAATTTCCCTGAAATCAATTGAAGGCAATGGCGTTAAAAATTGCCGTAGAACGTAACAGCTGTCTACGGCAATTTTGTGAGTTTCCACGGCATTTTTGTTTTCAAATTGCTGTAATAAAAATTTAACTTTATTGTACAGACTTTGGATTGCTGACAAGCTAGAAACATGTCAGTTTACGTATTTCTTTAGTGTTTTTTTTTTCGAACAAAACTGAGACTAAAATAGTAATTTACGGATGATTTGATCAACATCTGAATTCAAGTATCAAAATAGTAATGCACAGTGAACATGAGTTTAAAAATACTATACGGCAAAAAATTGCCGTCATTGCCGCAATGATCCACAGCATTTTGTTCTCCCTCTACAGTAATTGCCGTGAAAAAATTCAAGCCCTGAATTCAAGCAAAACATCACTTCTTTTGGAAGATCAATAAGATAAATTATAATACATAGTACCAAACATAGCAAAAGAAAGAAGAAGTGGTGAAGTGAAGTTCATTACGTACATAAATATAACATCATTTGATTAATGATTTCGGACTCATAAAATAATTACTATTATTGTAGTGTACATTGTCATTCTGTTCATGCAGCTGTAAAAATTAAACTATAAGTAGTACATTAAAGTACATTGTCACTTACAAGTATAAGGGGCGGACCATTTGATTTTTAAGGGGGGGGGTTGAAAGATTTCGGAAAAAACATTCATGCAATCCAAGGAGAAAGAAAAAAAATCATGCAACATACAATCGAGGAAAAAATATATCATGCAAAAGAAAGCGCTCAAAAAAAAAATTCCTGCATGTAAATCTACTGACGTTCTTCACTTCAGTATTGTGTCCACATGCTTGCAAGATTTTGCATTTTTGAGCAGGCACATTTGCTAAAAAGAACATTGGGTGAACAGTGGACAACATCACAGGGATTCTGGCGCCTTTGGATTCAATAACATATGATAGCCAGTGGCATTCCCTGGCAAAATTGTTGCCCCCCCCCCCCTGAGAAAATCTGGGCTTAAGATATGTACAAGTTTATAAGTTATTTAATGTACATATCTAATATGCATGGTAGAAAAAGTATTTTTGGATGGTTGAGTCTGTGTGCGTTTTTTGATAACATAGTTCCAAACTATTAAAGCTTCAAAGGCCGATCTACCGGATGCAAGTTGAACGTACTGTATATACGATGATTTTAATGCGAAAATTGGAATTTTAAACTGGAGTTTAGAGAGTCTAGATTTTAAAATATTTCTGAAGAGGATGCAACCCGATCCCCAACAAGCTATTTGTATGAGTATTGAACGATTGAAAAGCTACAGAGCTATATTTGGTGGAACATTGTTGTTTCGGAGGGCAGTTAAAAATCGCATTATTGAAATCTTGTTTTATTACATATTAATCAAAGCTCATTTTGTGATTTTCCCTTGTTTAAAATAAAGGACAGTGAGTGTTCCTTAGGCTTAGTACAGCAAAGTTGTTGCATGAATCCATGGCTGAAAACGCAGGAAATAGCATTTCTGAGGTTCAAATTTTAAATTTTTCTAGGGGGAGCATGTCCCCGAACCCCCCAAGGTTACAGATCATTCATATACTGTACCTCCCCCAGTCTACTCTACTCTATCCCTGCATGCTTTAGGTTTTGGTGCAGTTATACATTTTTTGTAAGTAAACCTGCACGCTTTAGTGTGGGGAACATTAAGACATAACCATATAAAATAAAGCACAGTGAAAATTCCTTAGCCCCTCTTGGGATTCAGGCTCGGCCTCCTCTGACTGAAAACCCTGGCTAACGTCTCTGACGATAGCTACATGAAAGCCTTAAGTTACTGTAAGCAGTTATTATGAGGGGCAAAAAAAATATCCTGGCGCGAAATATATTGGGAAAAAATATCTTGCGCAGCACTTTACAGGAAAAAAATATCTGTCTTATTCCCTGGGCAGAAAAAAATTCTTGCACAGACTGAATCTTCCACCCCCCCCCCTCAAAATCAAATGGTCCGCCCCTAAATGCAAATGACATCTAAATCTAACATGTTAATAGTTGTACTTTGTCATTTTACGTATTCTATATTATTTGATTGTTAATTTGCGGCGAAAATTTTTTAAATTTTAATTAATGCGAGGGCACGCTCCCCTCCCCACGCGATTTTTTAACTATCAGTCACAGCCGGCTACTTTTTTGGTACAACCGCCTACTTCAAATCATTCTGAAACCCCTGGTGAATGCCTTTCGTAAGCACACAGCATTCTCTATGGTTGTTGCCATCCTGGGGTATTTCCCACGAAAATTCAAACTAAAAATCTTTCAACGACCGTACAAATGGGTTATTTTAACCCCTCTCCTCCTTGAAATTCCAAGGCACCTCAAGAGAATGGATGTAAATACGTAAATGTCGATTAAAATAGTCATGAGTACGCACTACCCATCAATAGGCCATCATGAAAATATATTAAAATTTCAGTATTAAACAGAGCTACTAGTACATATTAGTGATTCACTCACAGTGGCTTTGGCGACCATAAATATAGATTCCTGTCCAGCATGACTCATATCAGGTGAGCTTTTCATAATTGTTTTAATTCTTGCTAAAGGGAGGCTTACTAACTTTTTTTCTCCTTCGATTTTTTCCGCCATATTGAAATTTCCCGTAAAATTGTGTTTCCATGTTCCATGATGCGATTTCAAAACATCAGTTTGCATTTGCAGTTCGTTTGCATATAAATTTACTGTCAAGATCACAAATTTTCCTTCCGCAAATTAATTACTATGAATTTGGTAGCACAAAGTTTAATAGTTTTTTCTGAAACGATAAAATAAACAGTTTTATAGATTTTATTTCTGATAATCCCAGACCTCTCAACTTTGCAGAGAAGTTAAGAGTGAGATTGAAAAAATTTTTTCCGGAAAAATTATTTCGGCGTGTACCAAATTTCGGTCAGTGTACCATTTTAGGGGTCAAAAAAATTTTCCGGACAACCAATATTTTTCCGAACATACACAAAATTTTCGAAAAATCACACAATTTGCCAAAAAATTGACTTAATTTTAGACAAAATTTACAGAATTTGTCACATTTTTTTTTATTGCAACCCAAAATTGCCCGACTGTTGATCGAATATTGCCCGACTGCCCAAAATACACCTATGCGGATATACCAAAATTTTTATGCGTTAGATTTACTAAACGTGGCGTGAGAGAGAGCGTGAGACTGAAGCGAATTGCGTGAGACTCACGCCGAATGCGTGAGAATTGAGAGGTCTGGCGTGAGAGCGTGAGACTGAAGCGAATTGCGTGAGACTCACGCCGAATGCGTGAGAGTTGAGAGGTCTGTAATCCAATGATTTTCCAATGGATTTTCCAGATTTCCTTATTTCCCGCCAAATTTCCTTGCAGTTTCTTTTTGAAAATTTCCTTTAAAAAAAACTTTGCAAAGATGGCGGACTCGAAGGAGTCTTCAAATTCTTTGGTTATTAACGGCGAAAACGAAGCGAACGAAGGCAATGTTCAATATAGCCGTGCATTTTTGCGTGAACGCTTTCTCCGTGCGCTATTTGCCGTGTCGAACAAACCGTCTACGTTTCGTATGTACGAAAAAACTGTCGTGTGTGCAACGTTTCGTTCTACCGATATAGAGACAACCGCTTTTCAAGTTTCAAATTTGGTGACACCTATGGGAGTCTTGCCCGAAGCATTGATCAGGACTTCAGATGTTTTGACTATTACTGTGGCTACGAATTGTGAAGAACAGATCGGTACTGTGTACTAAGAGCAGTTTGAATTTATATGTAATGCTGTACTAATGCACCAGGCAAAAAGCAAAAAAATATGTGAAAATCGACGCAATAATGACATTCGTCAACCGTGACAGTAAAATGACATTTGTCAAACGTAACAGGAATGAATACTAAAGTCTAACTTCTCATACAATGATTTGCAAATATCACAAAGTACTCACCATGTTCCTAGGCATTGTGCCTTAGGCCACCATTTGTTGTATATTAGTTTCTCATCCCCGCCCGCATGCTTTTTAAGAAAATGGTCTTGTTCGCCATTATTGCAATTTTTGACCATTATTATAAATTTTGTAATGTCTTCAAAGCGAAATTTGAAAGAAAGACAATTAGAAATGTTCCCAAACCAAATGTTATAGTTAAAATACGAAATTTCATACCAAAACTGCCAGTTTCTCCCGCATTATAATTACGTACACGCTTATCAAATATGCAAACTCGAGACGACTTGGCTACAAAATTATTTCATATGTGGAGCGGCCATGTTTTTAATATGAAAACATGGTTTCAGTTGCACTTACGAATTTAGTGCTGTTTTGCAATGCTGAATTACAGGGTATGGAAACATTCAGAAAGTTGCAGCTGTATAAAACATATACAACGATTCCTGTATTTTCCGGTACGCACTATATAAATGCTTAATGCGCACTTTCTCAAAGGTAAATTTTACGGAGAGGGGAAACCCGCCAAATAATGGCATAATGGTAATGGCCCGCCCGCCCGCATCAACTTTAGGTGAAGCTCCGGATGAGAAACCAACATACAACAAATAGTGGCCTAATCGCAAGTTCTAAACGTTTTAATTCATAGTTCATAGTTTTAGCATTCGTATACATTTGCATGTTTCCAATTTTCAAGTTTAAATTTTAAGCTTTGTAAATATAGAGGCATAGAAGTTTAGTTTATATAAATTAGAAACACTCCTTGTAAATCTTAAAGGTAGGTTACAGTCCCTTCTGCGCATGCGCGGGCTTTGTTTACGTTTTTTGTTTTGATCCACATTAATTATATAAGATGAAGTATTTGACGAGTTCAAAGTAACATTCCACATAATTTGTGACCGAGGAGTGCAATGTTTGACAATACTCGGCTTCATTTCTTGTACATTTCTACACTGGAAATTTTTGTACACAATATAAACACAATCTTATACTGTAGCCACAGAATAAAGATCAGTAACAGAAGGGCCACTCAGCGGTGCAACATGTCCTCGGTTTTTTATGCAAAAATATGCAGTTTACTGGCCAGAAGGCGGAGCAGCCAGCCAGTACAGCGTGTTTATTGGCCAGAAAATGTCATTGACTGGCTAGGAAAATGGCGGCCAACTTGCGTAATGCGACATGCGCGAGGACAGAAACTTCAAAGCTTCCGACGTAAGTGGCCCTTCTATATGGATCTTTATTCTATGCTGTAGCTGTTTAACTGTAAACATCGTGAATAAAGTTATAAAGAGGCCGCTTTGAACGTTGTGGGACTTGCTATATCAACAGCTGGGGCGGCGAACCGAAATCCCGAAGGTGTGAGTTCGAATAATTTGTGTTTACCTTTGGAGTGTCTCATCATGAATATATTTAATGCGGTATCAATCCCTCGAAACATGTTGCCAGTGTTGTTGTCATTATGACAGAAGCGCTTGGCCTTGGGGAAAGCTTTTCGCTTGACGAAATTCGAAACAAGTGTGATTGAGAATGTGGTTGCAGTTCCTGTCTTCGTGGCAAAGCCAAGGGCGAAATTTTTGACCGTGCAAAAGATGGATATACAGCTTTATTTGTTCAAGCTCGTGCGCGCTATGGAGATGATTTCGTTATAAACAACAAAAGAGTTCAATAGATTGACAGTGACGAGAGTACGAGACGCTAAGATTATATTCAACTTTTCAGTTGTGTTATAAATATGTATGTTTTGAAATTATGAACTGGAAGTATGAATTCTTTGATATTACTCTCATATTGACACTAAATGATGATATTCTTGTGACACTGAATGATCTAATAGCAATATTAACTTGAACAATTCTGGTCAATCTAGTGATCACGTTAGTTCATCATATCTCTTCAAGACAGAGGACAATTGCTAAATATATGCTTGTTTCGCTGTATATCAGAGCCCATCAGAATGTTCATGAAACACTGATGAAATTTTTATTTACATCAACGAATCAGTCTTTCTTTTTCTTAACAGATTTATTGGGTTATATGATAATACAAATAATTTATAAACAATTATTGTTAAAACTCATATATCCAAGGAATAGGCATAAATATGACTCAAGGGCTTGTGCTCCCCCCCTGAAAGTACTGAATATACTAAATATAATTACAGTTTGTGACATGAATTCAGTAAGCACCATTCACATAAGAACCTGTTTAGGCTAACTTGGAAAAAATCTAGGTTTTAGGGTTTTACTGTCTAGTCTAGGGTTTTACTGTGTTGTCTGATTTCATGTCACAAAACAGGCCATGGGCATGGGAGCTTGTTCTGACAATATATACCTATATATGGGATGGTGCCACTCTTTGTGACACAAGATTAGGCAATCATAGTACAATATGAAGTGGCTTGTGTTTCAGATTGCTTTGTGTAGGAGGCAATCCATCTACGAGAAAGAAAGCTCGGATTTCAAACCCCCAGATCCCACCTTGGACAATACATGTAGTGAATACATGATCATTAGAGCTTGGAAATTAGGTTAAATTCTTAAAGAAAAGCGACTCATTTTTGGTATTCGAGGTATAATTTACATGTACATATATATAAATTGCGCAAAAATATTCTAACTAATAGCTATGCCGCGGTAAAGCTATGCTGTAAAGCTGCTAACACTTTATTTATCTCAATGACATTTTCAGTGTTCTGGATCATTTTCATTACTTTGACTTTGTGAAGAGTTTATTTTCTTTGATTTATATACATTTTTAGATTTGATTTGTCTTCATGTGATAAAATAAAAACCTGAATTGCTAGCCTAAACAAATTCTTATTTAGGGTGTCTAAATAAAAAATTTTAGCCTGACAGGTTCTTAAATTGTAGGTTCTTATATGCAAGCTTTTAGTCACAATTAGGGTGAAAAAATATACTGGTAATTATTAATTGAGTTTGTTTACATCATATAAGTTTCTGTGATCAAAATGTTTTATTAACTAAATGTCTTAGGCGGTGTTTATATGGAGGCGAGCCAGCCCGGTTACCTGAGCTAATTTAATTTAATTTTTAAAAGTCAATTTTTAAACCTTACACCAAAGTGTGTTTAGTTATCGAACTACGAATCAAATTTTATAATCGCTGACTTTTTAACAGCTATCAGCACAAAAAGATTCTTACTTTTGCTGAATTAACGTCGGCAAAAATTTGCCGGCCTGGGAGGTTGATAGGTCGGCATTTAGGTCGGCATTGCCGAATGCCGACCTCGTTTTCGAGGGCTGTAAGCTGCTTTGATTAAAATATACTTTGATCAGAGAAACTTTTTATGTGTTTCTATTAAGTGAGCACAATTTGTCCATGAGAAGACAGTCAAAGACAGTAAAGCACGGTCAAGTAGATTAATTTATATCATTTATCATTCTGACAATAAACACTATATAAACAGCCATCCAAAACATGTTGACTTCAAATTGCTCATTAACACTTTTTCATTGACAACTCCTACTCACGAGTATCATATCTTTAGGCCTTAATTATATGGGTTTCAGTTTGTAAATAAAAGAGATAGAACAGTTCGTATGTAACTATAGTGTATAATTAAAATAGTGAATAAAGAGAATTTTATAGTCATTAAAACCTCGATTGATGGGCTTCAACAAGCGATTTCACTGAAGTGTCCACAGTGAAGGGAGTGAATAGCAGCTATGTTGGGTGAAATGTCCAATCCTTCTTGGATTCTTTTCTTGAAAACCTTTACTAGAAGCTTGAGGATCAGAGGATGTAGGTTCATGGGGAAACGCAGACAGAAATGGCACGCTCTCCATCGAGGAAAACAATAAAATAGATACACTATACATTTTGTAAGCATCCCTGCTAGCGTGGTATTCTTTCCTACTCGTCATGTTGCCTCAAAAACTCGTTATTTGAAGGATTGTCGCTCAAAAAAGCTCAGTATATTTTGGAAACTTCTAGCTTCACTCCTTCGCTTGCGAAAAAAACAACGCGCGTGTTATTGCCAGAAATGAGACTGGACCGAGTATAAACCGAGATGCCCAACTTCCGGTGGAGTCGCCAGGCAAAAACAATCACAGACATGCGCAGAAGGGACTGTAACCTACCTTTAAACTAATTTTGACTATTGACAAGTTCACAACCAACTTGGTTGTCAATACAATAGTCAAAATTAATAGTTTTATAACAAATGTGAACCGAGATTACTGAGTGCTCCTGTAGATCACTATTTTGACTTTTGTGTTCAATAATTCTCTCAGAGAGATTCACTATTTGAAAATTGTAAACATAGCTTTTGTCTTGAAGGTTCTATAATAATATATTCTGCACTGCACATGTGGTACGTGGACTGTGGACACACACACTTCTCAGTTTGTTCAGATTTTTGTGTTGAACAATTAAGTAGCTTAGCAGTTTATGTTGCAGGTTGTATAGTATATATAGAAAATATATGTGATATAGAACTGTAAATTCTCAAATTTTTCCTTTGCGAACAAAATGGTTGTCAGAATTTTGTAGTCCCCACCATTTTGTTATAATTATTCCATTGCGAACAAAATGGGTGACTGAAATTCGGAGTCCCTTCTTGTACTCATTCCGCCATTTTGTTATAATTATTCCATTGCGAACAATTTGGGTGTCTGAAATTCGGAGTCTCTTTTTGTGCTCATTCCGCCATTTTGTTATAATGATTAAAATTGCGAACAATTTGGGTGTCTGAAATTCGGAGTCTCTTTTTGTGCTCGAATTCTGCCATTTTGTTATAATTATTCCATTGCGAACAATTTGGGTGTCTGAAATTCGGAGTCTCTTTTTGTGCTCATTCCGCCATTTTGTTATAATGATTACATTGCGAACAATTTGGGTGTCTGAAATTCGGAGTCTCTTTTTGTGCTCGAATTCTGCCATTTTGTTATAATTATTCCATTGCGAACAATTTGGGTGTCTGAAATTCGGAGTCTCTTTTTGTGCTCATTCCGCCATTTTGTTACAATTATTCCATTGCGAACAATTTGGGTGTCT